CGAGATGACCCATGTTCAAACTCATCCGAGCATTCACCTAGACAAGCATCCTGACAAGGTTTGATGATGATTGAGGCTCGAGTGTTAACAAGATTTTTTTCAATTTTTAGCTCCTGTGACCTAGTTTTTCATCGGAGATGACCCATGTTCGAACTCATCCGAGCTATTAAATAGATAAGCATCCTGACAAAGTTTGATGATGATGAGGCAAAAAGGTGACCGCTAGAGTGTTAACAAGGTTTTTCTATTTTTAGCTCCTGTGACCTAGTTTTTCATCGGAGATGACCCATGTTCGAACTCATCCGAGCTATAACCTAGATAAGCATCCTGACAAAGTTTGATGATGATTGAGGCAAAATGTGACCACTTGAGTGTTAACAAGGTTTTTCTATTTTTAGCTCCTGTGACCTAGTTTTTCATCGGAGATGACCCATGTTCGAACTTATCCGAGCTATAACCTAGAGAAGCATCCTGTTAAAGTTTGATGATGATTGAGGCAAAATGTGACCACTTGAGTGTTAACAAGGTTTTTCTATTTTTAGCTCCTGTGACCTAGTTTTTCATCGGAGATGACCCATGTTCGAACTCGTCCGAGCTTTCATCTAGACAAGAATCCTGACAACGTTTGATGATGATTGAGGCAAAACTGTGACCGATAGAATGTTAAGAAGGTTTTTCTATTTTAGCTCCGATGACCTAGTTTTTCATCCGAGATAACCCATGTTCGAACTCATCCGAGCAATGACCTAGACAAATATCCTGACCAAGTTTGATGATAATTGAGTAATAAATGTGACCTCTAGAGTGTTAACAAGGTTTTTCTATTTTTAGCTCTTATGACCTAGTTTCTCATCCGAGATGACCCATGTTCGAACTCATCCGAGCTATCAACTAGATAAGCATCCTGACCAAGTTTGATGATGATTGAGGCAAAAATGTGACCGCTAGAGTGTTAACAACTAAATGTGAACAGACGACGGACGGACGACGGACAATCATTGATCCTAAAAGCTCACCCTGAGCATGCTCAGGTGAGCTAAAAAGTATCATTTCTAACATAATACATTGTATGTAACTATTTGTTATTCATCATTAAATTAATTGTTTTCTTTATAAGGAAACTGGTGTTGACTGCGATTTTATAAAAGGCGCATCAGGCCTCAGAAATGAATTTTTTTTTTCCCTTTGGAAATGCAAAAATGTATTTTATAATATTTAAATAATGGTTTTGAAGCTTGTGAGATGGTAATCACCTTTAGGAAGAAATGATGAATGTGAAATTATTAAAGTAGTTATTTGACTTTCATACAAAATCACTATGAATGTACTAATTGCTAAAAAGCATTACAAGCAAAAAAAAGTTTGTGTAACTTGACAATAAGTAACTTATTGGAAACTTTAACAAGATGCTATATTATCCATATTCTAGTTTTACCCAAACATAGATTACAAAGGTCAGCATATTCTGACCAAGTGTAATAAGGACAGGGCCAAATTTGTGTTGTGACTTTTCAAATCTTATCTCAAATTTCAGATGACTTGTGTCCTAGTTATTCTGACAAATGAGATTCTGGTATCAAGCAACACTTAATCAAAAAAGACATTACATATCAAAACTATCCATATTGTAAAAGGTAAATACATGTATATTCCTGACAAACAATGAAACAACTGATTTATGGGAAGAGCATGTAGAAAATAAGAAAAACATAAAATCATAATCAGATAATTTCATCTACTGGCAAGATATAAACATAAAACATGGAAACTTAAGGTGAAAAAAAAACAACAAGTAATCAATACATACATGAAAATATTTGAACCAGAGATACTCACAGTGGCAGTTGAAAAGATAAAGGTTGAAAAAATAATGAAAGAAATATATATACACAATTAATTCAGAGTAAAGCCAATGGTCAAAAGGTTAAAAGGTCAAATCATGGGCAAAACACAATATATAGAAAACATAAAGGAATTGCATTTATTTGAGCACTGGATAAAAAGATGCTGTTTTGATTTTTTCTATTCAAGCTACAAGTACCAATACATCAATCAATTGACACATTCTATTGGGTATCTTTAACAATCAGCCAATCAAAAAGCAGAACACAATATGGTGTTCATCATCACCATGAAGTCTTTATTGCATACAAACAAATTCCCATTTAAATTGCCTTACAAGTTTCATGTACTGTCATCCAATAATATGTTAAAATTGCAATTTCTTTCAGCAAGAAATCCTTTAAATTCACAGTAGATCCTTTAAATTCATAATGGGCAATTTCAAATTCTTTAAAGGGCAAAGGCTCAGAGATCCATTAAATTCACAATCGGCAATTTTAAATTCAAAGAAGGGCAAAGCCCAAAGATCCCTTAAATTCCTAATGGGCAGTTTTAAATGTAAAGAAGGGCAAATCCCGGAGATCTCTAAAATTTACAATTACAAAGAACAGCCAGACAAAAAGATCAATATAATTCACAATGGGGAATTTTAAAGTGAAAGAAGTGCCAGTCCAAGAGATCCCTTTAATTCACAAAGGGCAATTTTAAATTCAAATAAGTACCAGTCAAAGTGATCCCTTAAATTTACAATTGGCAGTTTTAAAATCAAAGAAGGGCAAGGCCCAGAGATCCAATTAATTTACAACTGGCAGTTTCAAATTACAAAGAAGGGCCGATACAAGAAATATTTTAAATTCAAAATAGGGCAGTTCATTTTACAGAATTAGTGGGATATAAACTATATTCCACTGAAACTAAGGAAATATCTCATTAAAATATACTATAAGTAAACTAAAGGTATTGTCATCAAACTTTCACAGCATAATTTCAGCCCTTTAAAAACAAGAAAAAGAAAGAAAATTTTAAGCAAAACCAATACTTTTCATAAAATGATTCAAAAGGGTTCCAACTTAAATAGCACATACTTAGTTAAAGTTAAAATTTAAACTGTAAATAAATCAACAAGAAATACCTTAAGTATATTGTACTCACCTTTTTCAACAATATAATAACAACTTCTTTTCTATCACTTACCATAACAAACAAACAATCTCAGTTAAAAAAGGAACAGATTCAGTACATAACAATCAAGTTATAAAAATATAAAAAGATTATATCAGTTTTTTCAAAATCTTCACAAAAAATCTATACACAGATTCCATTATATTCATAAATGTCAACTTTCCAAGTACACAAAATTCTTTATGGCAAAATATGTAACTATATGTATATATCTAGGAATCTACCATACGTAAACACCATACAACAGCTTGGCTTAATATCTCCCAATCTATTGAACAGCAGGTATTGCGGTAATACTTTCTCGCCAAAAAATTCTAACATCGGCCAATATCCTGGCAAATCGATTATTTCTGAAACGTTATTTTTCAAATTCTTGGGTATTAGATTATTTACAATCACCCATTCCTTATCAATATATACTAAATTCAGGTTATAAATGGATAAGATTTATTGAATACCAAAAATTGTGAAAAATACATTCCAAAAAAGACCAATTTATATTATGACAATGGCCGATGTTAGAAATTTTTGCGGGAAAGCATTACAGTAAGACTACCTTAATCATGGTGATCACACTTTCAACACAATTTTGGCTAGTACTAGAACAAGAGGGCCATGATGGCCCTGAGGTCGCTCACCTGTATATAGGCCCCCCGGAGCGGGGCCAGTTTAAACCCCAGGGCTTTTATTTGAACAAACTTGGAAGACACTCATTTGAAGATGTTTCACAATGTTAAGTTTTTACTACACACATGTAATGAAAAACAATGATCTCATACCTACCCGCCCCCCCCCCCCCGGCAGGGCCAATTTTCCCCCAAGGGCTTTTATTTGAACAAACTTGGTAGACATCCATAAGAAGATATTTCATGCTAAACATCTAAGCTCTAGCTCATTGGGTTTTTTAAAAGAAGATTTTTTAAGTTTTTACCACACACATATAGTTAAAAACAATGACACCCCTGGGGCAGGGCCATGTTTGACCCCAGGGCTTTTATTTGAACAAACTTTGTAGACACTTACTAGAAGATGTTTCATGCTTAATATCTAAACTCTAGCTATTTGGGTTTTTTCAAAGAAGATTTTTCAAGTTTTTACTATATGCATATAGGCAAAATCAATGACCCCCGGGGCGGGGCCAATTTTGACCCCAGGGCTATAATTTGAACAAACTTTGTAGACACTCACTAGAAGATGTTTCATGCTTAATATCTAAACTCTAGCTATTTGGTTTTTTTCAAAGAAGATTATTTAAGTTTTTGCTATACACATATAAGGAAAATCAATGACCCCCCGGGGCGGGGCCAATTTTGACCCCAGGGCTTTTATTTGAACAAACTTGGTAGACACCCATTAGAGGATGTTTCATGCTAAATATCTTAGCTCTAGCTCTTTGAGTTCTTTAAAAGAAGATTTTTTAAGTTTTTACTATATGCATATAGGGAAAATCAATGACCCCCTGGGGCGGGGCCAATTTTGACCCCAGGGCTTTTATTTGAACAAACTTGGTAGACACTCATTAGAAGATGTTTCATGCTGAATATCTTAGCTCTAGCTCTTTGGGTTCTTTAAAAGAAGATTTTTTAAGTTTTTACTATATGCATATAGGGAAAATCAATGACCCCCTGGGGCGGGGCCAATTTTGACCCCAGGGATTTTATTTGAACAACTTTGGTAGACACTCACTAGAAGATGTTTCATGCCAAATATCTAAGCTCTAGCTCTTAGGGTTTTTTAAAAGAAGATATTTAAAGTTTTTTCTTTCGGTTGCCATGGCATGCATGGAATTAAATTCTTTGAACAATTTTTAAAGGTGACCACCAAAGGAACATTCCTGTGAAGTTTGGATGAAATTGGCTTAGTGGTTTATGAGGAGATGTCATTTAAAGTAAAAGTTTACGGACGGACGGACGGACGCCGGACGAAAAGCGATCACAAAAGCTCACCCTGTCACTTTGTGACAGGTGAGCTAAAAAGGCAGTCTAAATTAGTGATGTCTTTCAAATGCCGTAGTTAAACACATTATTTTCTATAAGTTCCGGTCCAAGTCTATTTCAAATAATTATAAACTCTAACTGCTTGCAATTTTACATCCTCGTTCGAATGTTTACACAATAAGAACACTTTATTTTTCACATTTCCAACAGTGCTAATCCCGAGTAACGCACAATACATAGTTTCCGGCGATGCCGCCTTATCATCCGGTGGTAGAGAGGAAGACGTGATATTCTTGTCCTTGACAACTTTTAATATATTAGCAAGTAAAGTTACAAAGCGGAGAATTATCGCATCATCAGTCTGTGATGGCTGTAGGAAAGCGAGCAGTCCTTCGGGAGCCTGAAACATTCAACAAAAACACAGTGAACTTAGAAATTAATCAGCCAACAATTGATATATCAAAAATATAAACCTATTATGTTGCATTTAAGATAAAAGGCATATGAGGAGAACAATACTTTCCAAAATTTTAATCTTAACAATACCTGTATGTTGTAACCTGTGTTTAAGGATTACCGACCCTAATGAATCGTTCAACATCGGCTAATGTCAGATAGAATCATGATAACCCAAAACCATTTTGCATTCTCTCAGCATATACATATTCTTGGCAGATACATATTTCTAGTATATTTTTGTCATCAAAGAGGTTGTTTTCCCCTGTGACATCATTATTTGATAAGATTTTGTCTTGAATGCATTTTCATTAGGGTCCGTAATCCTTAAAATGATATTCAGTGGACTTGCAAAATAACATATATGTTTTTGAATATTATTTCAACCATCTCCAGTTAATTGATGCATGTATTGCTCAACATATATAAAACATGTTGAAGTTGAATTACTGGGTGTATCAACTAAACTGCCAAAAACAAGACATGTGAAAGTCAGAATTTTCCAACAAAACAATATTACCTATTAAGCCAATCATTATTACACATGTACTATATTATTAGTCATGAATATTTTTGACATGTTATATGGCCTTATATTGCAAAAATTATCATATAACCCTTCAGAAATATTTATAACTGACTTATAATATGGCAAAAAGTGAGATTTCCTAATAAACTAACAGCAGCCATGTTATGATGTATATAAAACTATATAAACATCACAATTATCCAATGAAAAGCAATGTTACAAATGTGCAGTATTATAAGAAATATTTATACAAGCGATATGATTATTCTAGTAATGCAGAGCTGCTTACGTTACGTTATGATATTCTGGCAGGTATGTAGTTAAAGACAAACTGTTAAATATAGCCAATATATCCATACAAGCGATATTTATAAAAGTGGAGCTTGTCACTGTTGTTACTTATTTCCACATGAAATATTGACTCTACATCAACTTTAACTCCTAATTTTAATAGGAGTTAACCAGTTATTGCACAAAGGTGACAATTAGTCTAGATCTATATTGCTATAATAATGTAATAGCTGGTCAAATTTAGAGGCGGAAAAAAATATTATTATCTTGAAATATTTTAAAATATATATTACCTTAGCAGCTAATAGATGTGGTACAACTTCTGGGTTACACGACAGGTTGACAAGAATCTTTAAAGCTTGTATCTGTATAACCTTATTCTCCGTCTTTAAGAACTCGTACAAACGCTGCACGAGACGTGTGTAATGGCCGTGGTGGTCAGAGGTCAAGGACAAATTTGTAAGAGCCTGCAGTGATGAGAGACAAACAGCTTCACCAGTATCTTTGTCCAGAGAAATATCAACTAGAGTTGGCACACAAGACTGAAAAAGTAAACAAGTCACAGGAAATTCTCACAAAACCAAGATTTCCTTCTATATTTGGAAAAAAAAGTTTGCTTATTTAATACAGACTAATCCGCTTCAAAAGTTCCGAAACAAAATATCATTTTGCTATTTTAAGTTGGATTTCATCCATTTTGCAATAATTTTGTGCAAGTGCTATTCGCTTTTAAGGCAATAAATTACCATATTTATTTCATACAAGCATTTTGGAAGTATACATTTATAAAATTAAAACAATAATTTTTGCATCAGATATACAGCTTTATACAATTTAGTATAATTGTCATAAAGTCATTTTAGACAGTAACAATTTGTTTTCTTCTTCAAGACATTTTAGAATATTTTCTTTGAGTCTTTTTAAACAGTAACAATTTTTTTTCTGCTAGAGAAGTTAGAAAAGATTTCAAAAACATGAGTGTTATGGTGCCTTTGTTGTGCTTTCAATGAAGAATCACATTGCCATCATGTTAAAAAAACAACTTAGGACCTGCATCAAAATTTTAGGTCAATCATAAATCTGAAATTGACATTATTATACTAAATCAAATTTTTGTTTGCTAAAATAAGGTTTCACTGTACCACAAGTTATCTAAGTTCATTCTATATTTTCTAGAAAATGACCAGGCTCTTTTCTAGCCAATTACAATTATTATAAACTCAAATAAATAGTTTTGTATCAGCCTTTGTTTATTAAGGGGAAGGGCATTTATTACATAGTTTACGGTAACAATGAATTTGCACATTATAATAAAGATAAATAAGAAAAGAACTGCTTAAATCACTGAAATGTTACACAATCACTGTAATGAACAGATGTTGGAATATAACAACAACAAACATATACACAACAAATGAATGAAAGAAAGAGCTATAATTATACAGCACTTCATAATTTTCTCTTCAATGTTATGCACCAGACTACCTAACAGTCAATCTTGGCCCCAAATCGCAAGGCCAATGTGGAGAATAGTGCGGAAAATGAGCCAGGTTTTAATTTTCCATCTGCTCCTAAATATGATTTAATACCAAGTTTGGTTTTGACACAAACTTAAAAGGGGTTATTTCAAACTCTCAGTGCAATGGCATGTAGAAGGGATTTAAACTAGCATACTGTCTTACTTATTTAGAACCTTTAACCTTGCATTAAAAAACTCATTGTGGTTAGAGTGGTTTAAATCTAGTTTCAAAGGAAACACAAGTTTAAATATGAAGCCTAAACAACTTGGCCACTGAGTACAAGGCCCATGTCCTTTTATTGATTAAAAAAGACATGTTTTCTTTAATCATATTTAAATTTTTATGTCCAACCTAAAATTCATGCTATTTTGTATTCATAATCCTAAGTTCATTTCTAGTTTTATTAAATTACGTCACTTTTCATTCTACGATTACTATAGGACCTCATTTCATTTCTTTTAAAATAAGTCCAAAATAATAACAGATTAAATTATCAATGCTTATACGAAGTAAATACTAGTTAGATACCTCCATTTCTTTGTTATTTTTCTCATTTGTCGCCAGATTGGTGACGGCATTTATAGTGACGGACACGGAAGTCGAGGCACCGGAATGTCTCAACCACATTGCCATGCGCTGAAGCTCGAGAAGTTTGGAAATACGCGGTAAACAACCCTGGTCACGTAACACATCCTGGAAAAGAAACAATACAGAATTATTTTAATTTTTTTTAGCTTAGTTTTTATGAATTTGTTTTAGTCTGATTGTGTTGGAAGTTATAAGGTAATTGAAACACTCTCCAATCTGTTCTTGGAACCAACCAGTATTAAGCAATGAGTGTAAAAATTCTTGCTCAACAAAACAACGACTTGCCACTAACAGGATCAAACCCATGCAACTAGCAATCCTTATATTACTTGCCTGAAGCGTTAACCACAGACATTGTTTTTTGTTTTCTTTTCTTTTTATTCCAAATATCTCAAGACAAAGCGTGCCTGCCAAGTATATCATCACCTGTTACAGGTCAATTACAGTTTATTACATCAGTGCCGCCACTTAAAACAAGTGAAAGGAAAAGGCAAACATTTATCAACTTCCAAATAAGATTGTCTTTTTAAATATTCACAAATGTCACCAATATGCACTATTGCTATAGCTTTAACCCATGGTCACCCATGCACTCTTTAATCCCTTAGTGAAATTAGTTACTTAGCTTAGAATAGTCAAGATTACAATACCACAGGACTATCCTGTCCTCAGAAAAAACATGGATCTTTTCTTATGTGAAGTGAAGCAAGTGAAGCTAGGTGTTCAAACTTTTCAGTAACTTTGACCAATAAGACTCTGAGCAAAGTCAATACAGTAAAATTACATTGAATAAATCTTTCAAAATATTCATTTCAATTTTTTCAACGCAATTTAAATTCAAAGCTCCTAAGGCGTGTTAAATTTAAGATACAATTTATTTAAATTTGTGCTGAAAGTGGAAAGATAAGATACCATTTTGCTTAATATAAAAATATATCCATGTAAGGAATGTATAAACAAATTTTCCATTTTTATAAACACTAGTAATATCCCTTTTCCACAATGTGATGCCCTTTAAACTATTAAAGCTAAAATATTATTATATTTGATATTTCAATGAGATGAAATCAAATCTGGACAGAATATTGGCTGTTAACGATTGATTCATCACAAAAATCAACGCTACCTGATTAACATTTTCACATTAGTTTCAATCTTATTTTATCAAAAGCAACATTTAAACCATCCCAAAAAACAACAACAACATTTTACAATTGAAGATAAAAACAACAGTTACAATAAAACTGTTGTTTCTGATATTACGAACTTTTACAGTATTTTGTATTATGATAGGATAATGTTTTTGGCTTCTTCTTATTAAATCAAAAACTTTACTTGTTGCTGGTCAATAGGTCACTAGGTACATTTAATTCTTTGATTTCTTTAATAAATAACACATTTATAAAACAATCTGACAAGATTTACATGTAAGTTTTGCCAACACAATTTGACAAGATTTTATTTTTGCAAACATTACTGGGTGTGGTTTAATTTCAACTTTACAAGGTCATTGTTTTGAATATATTAATGTTAAGAAAAGTTTATGCTTACAAAAAATATTTGCAAATTTTTGCACTCGCATGTACGTAAAATAAAGACACTTGATCAAACTTTGTTAGGATTATTTCTTTTATAATTATGTTAAATAGACAATATATATATATATATATATATATATATGATGAAATATATTATAGGGTCAAATGTCAAGGTCAATGATAAACTACTGATACATATAGCACTGTTAATGCATGATCTGGTAACCTTTAAATTTTCTAAGTATCAACCTTTTTACTAACCAATACCACACTAAATATCTTAAATGGATTTGACCATCTTTTAATCTGGACAATAACGTACATTATTTATAGGGAAAATTTCAAAATATGAATTGACTGAATAGCATACACTGCAGGCCATCATCAGACAGATGGATGTACTGACTTATCTTTGTCTTCACTGGATGCATGGAAAGAAACAATGACCTTGACCTTCAATGCCAACAGGCCACTAATTCAGACTTTTTACAATGACCTTGAACTTTTATGCCAGCAGACTACTAATTCAGACTTTTTACAATGACCTTGACCTTTGATGCCTGCAGGCTACTAATTAAGACTTTTTTTACAATGACCTTGACCTTTAATTCCAGCTGGCTACTAATTAAGACTTTTTTACAATGACCTTGACCTTTAATTCCAGCATGCTACTAATTAAAACTTTAATAACAATGATCTTGACCTTTGTTGCCAGCAGGCTACTTATTATGACTTTTTTACAATGACCTTGATCTTTAAAATAATTATAGACATAAGTTTACTGCAAGATATATGTAACAATAACAGTATTACAAACATTCTTACAGTGTGATAAAGGTCAAATCAAATTGAGACCTCTGGAGTTCGTAAAAACATTCAAAACTAGAACTATCACTTAATGTGATTAATACCCCCACAAGACTGCTTCGGAAATGAGGATGTTACTAGTAACAGAATACCTTGAAAAAGAATTGAAATATAGAGTTATGGTTGTGGGCAATTAAAGATAGTTGTGGTTCTTATATATTGCATTTCCTTTCAATGTGGTTGGCCATTGATGAAGTTTAATTGAATTACTTTGTAATAAGTCCAGAAAGACAAAGAAAAGGTTCAAAGGGCAATAACTCTATAAATACTGAAGATAGAGTTATAGTTCTTGTGCACTGCACTTCCTCTTATTGTGCTTGACCATTGTATGAAGTTGTTTTGAATTCCAACCAGTATGTTTTAAGTTATGCTCCTGACAAGGAAAAGTATCAAAGGGCAGTAACTCTGTATTTTGTCAAAATGGAGTTATGGCTCTTGTGCACTGCACTTCCTTTTAATGTCCTTGACAACTGTATGAAGTTGTATTGAATTCCAAACAGTAGTTTTCAAGTTATGCCCTGGACAAGGAAAAGTAACAAAGGGCAATAACTCTGTAATTAGTCAAGATAGAGTTATGGTTCTTATGCACTGCACTTCCTCTCAATGTGCTTGACCATTGTATGTAGTTATATTGAATTCCAACCATTAGTCTTCAAGTTATGGTCCGGACAAAAAAATCAATGGAAAAGTAACAAAGGGCAATAACTCTGTAATTACTTTAGATAGAGTTATGGTTCTTGTGCACTGCACTTCCCCTTATTGTGTTTGACAATTGTATGAAGTTGTTTTGAATTCTAACCAGTAGTTTTCTAGTTATGCCCCGGACAAGGAAAAGTAACAAAGGGCAATAACTCTGTAATTAGTCAAGATAGAGTTATGGTTCTTGTGCACTGCACTTCCTCTCAATGTGCTTGACCATTGTATGTAGTTATATTGAATTCCAACCATTAGTCTTCAAGTTATGCTCCAGACAAGGAAAATGCAACGGACATCTGGACCGACCGACCGACAGACCGAACACCGGGTGACTCCTATATACCCCCCCAAACTTCGTTTTTGGGGGTATAATGACTGTCATTTGGTAAAAATACCAAACTGGAGCACAAAAGTATAATAAAATCACTTTACAATGTACCTTCAACCTCTGAGAAAAAAAAATATCAACTGTTTTAAAGTTATCAGGTAAATTCTAGTACATAACATCATTGTACATTCTAATTCATCTAAATTATCAAAACATGTCAGAAGCTAACTTTTCCAAACCTTTAAAATAACTTTCTTTATTTCTAGAATATCTTTGAAATAAAAAAATATTAAATTAAAATATATAATATTAAAAAAATCTCTTACAGAGCAACATATTGAATTTATGACTTTACCAACAATTCATTATTCAATTCCCACGAATACTAAAGATAAACTAAATACATCCTACCTTTTCTACACTACATATCCTTATACATATATGGATTCAAGTTAATCTAGACCTTCAAAGACAAAAGATATTTCCATATATAGATCTTCTATGAGAAATTAAGTGAAGTTACGTCTGCTTCCAGTGTAACGTCTGCTGTCAGCAAGCATGTACTAATTAGATTGTTTATTGACCAGCCGACAGCTGTCTATACCCTACCTGATGCATTGCTCACAATGGTTTGTACAATCTTTATTCAACCATAGTAGATCTAATGCAATTATTCTAATGTAAAGAAACTTGTTAAAGGCCCATTATGCTTTACAAAATGATTTTATTTTTTATTTCTCAAAATTTAATTTTGTTGAACTTTTATAGTATCCATAACTTTACTCATTAGCCAATAACCTGAACCATCTTTTTCATCTGTCGCTTTTTGGCAACAAAGACATTTATAGATTAGAGAATAAGTAATTTGTATAGAAGTTAAAATACTACTTTGTTTACATTTTGCTACTTTTATGACAAATTATTTCACATTTATCGTTACTTTCTTCTGCTAACAATTAGGTAAACTACCATTCTCTAAAACTATAATATTCACGTTTTCCCTTTCGAAAGAAGTAAAGATTCATATTGTGCCTTTAAATACCTGCATGTTTCTAAGTGAACGTATATTCATAACAGTGAAAATAATAAAAACAACAACAGAAAATAAGATCAGAAAATTTTCAGCAAAAATCAAAAGCTTTATTTAAATTCAAAAAGTTTTGACGAAAAAGTAATATCAAAATTTAGTAAAACAAGACCTGTACATACTGAGAAATGACCTCACCTCAATAAAATATGTATTCATATTAGGTACCTTAAAATAACACAATGAAACTGCTAATAGCTAGTTTTTACCTAAATGAAAATATGAATAATATAAGGTTAAAAAAAATGTAAAATAAAACAGGAAAAAATTTGCCATCCAAAACTCTAATAACTGCTTCTCCTAAACTAAAAACATGAATAGAATAATAAATAATTAGATAAAGATATTTTAATAATCATTTTACCAAACAAGAGGGCCATGATGGCCCTGAGGTCGCTCACCTGTATATAGGCCCCACCAACCCCCCCCCCCCCCAAACGTTGCAGGGCCAATTTAACCCAAGGGCTTTTATTTGCACATACTTGGTAGACACCCATAATAAGATGTTTCATGCTAAACATCTAAGCTCTAGCTCATTGGGCTTTTTAAAAGAAGATTTTTTTTAAGTTTATACTATACACATATAGTT